TTTACATAGACTTACAAGAATTTTGTCCAGACTAACAGAGATACCAATTATTAGTCACATACAAGACACCCTTAGCATTTATGCAATCAGATTTCCCCCATCAACCAGTTCACTTTAAAATTACAATGCAATAAAAATAATCAAGCCAATTCAAAAACCGTCATCAAAGTCACATTTAAAAGTTCTACCCATCATGTATAAATAACTAGTAACTGTTCTATCAATTTTCATTTAAAGTGAAATCTTACTTTTCCATGTATGACAAATGCAGCCATAAATTGAGAAGTATAATCCCACTTAATCATCTACACTCAAATGATTCATTTCAATAATCAAAGTCACACTATAAATAAAGATACTTGAAGCTGACATATTTTTCTTTCTTCAAAAGAAATCAGCTGACTCATTCATCTGCAAATAACCAAAAACCTCAGATGGAAAATATACTTACGATATTGTACCATATACACAATTCTATCAATAGTTCAGAAAATCATAGATTCCTGGGATAATTTCAAGGAAACTGAATTATTTTGAATGTCATTGCGAATGCATTTTCTTTTTTTCTTCAAACTTCAAACTCATTTATTTTACATTTTTTTTATTATAAAAGTTAGTTTTGTAAAGTCACTGCTTGTGTGCTGGATCCTTAAAGGATGCTCTATAAATGTAGACTTGTGTCAAACTTGGCTCAGTCCAACAAACATGCACAAGATTACATTATATGTGGAGGAGGAAAAACAGTTTAAAAACCAGTCACATTTCCTAAAGAGACAAATGGTATTATGTATAAACTAATTTCATTCAAATAAAATCTTATTTACCAATCAATTCACAAACTGCTTATAAGTTATGCTTATTTCATATAAATTTTTAACAAATTAAATGTTGTGGAGATGGACACACCTCACCAAATACACATACATTGAGAATCGTCAACAGAAGGAGAGAAAAAGTAGAGAGATAGAGATCTAGCATATCTGCTTACTACTGATTTCAGCAAGACTACATTGACTCCAAGCGACATTCTACTTCTTCATTGTGTTCTTGTTTCAATGCAATGAAAACATAACATTAAACATTATGAAAGCAAGCATTTTCACTGTCAAAAAATTGTCTGTTCTTGTTTATTAGAAATATAAACTAACAAAAGTATTACAAGTGGTACTCCTGAGAATATGAATATACATGTATTACATTTATTGTTTGAATCAAACTTCATTAATCTAAATATACATTCTAAATATTTGAACTCTTTACAAGTGAAGAAACTGTTACGCTGCTCTACTAATGCTCATAATATAATGGCACAAGTAGGTGGCTTAAAATAGCTAACTAGCTTCAAACCCATCTGCGGTTGATTTTAATTGAAAAACCTTATATCCTTTCTGTTAAATATGCTGACTCTTGAGGATTGAACTTACCATCCTTGGCTGAGAAATTTCTGAAGATATTAGACTCCCACTCCCCAGCTTAATGGATGTGTTCTAAGCAGTAGCAGGCTTGTCTTCCTTCCTGCCAAAGGCATTATTTAAGTTTAGTGAAATTTCTTCTCAGTGTGAATTTTTCTATTGTCCATTGATGTGCTGTCACTCAGTTTATTGATCAAGATCCTGTTTTATAATTTTCAACAATGGAAACTATTATTTAAAGAAAAAAATTAAAAGCTTCTAATTTTGTTAGTAATTGAAAAATTGATTCAAAGCAAATGAAGATTACCTTTTTTTTTTTCATAAATGTTTTGTAAATTATGTTTGACCAATTCTAAGAACTGCTTTTAGGTAATGAAGACTTACATAATTATTTGAGATTTAGGATTAAAATAATAAAAACAGAAGAGATTAAATTTTTGTGCTAAAATTATTTAAAGATTATTCCTTACATATGCCCAAAATCCTAAAAATGCAAATTAATTTAAATAAACATTTTCTGAAGAATTTATACTTGAAAAATTTAATGAAAGTACATGTATGAAGATTGGTTAAAAAGTAATGCCTGTTCTAATATAAAATTATGAGTCAAAATATGTAGGGGATTTTTAACTATAAACCAGAAAGTGTCTAGAAGACTAAGGGAGGAATAATTATGCAGTTACTTTCTCCTATTCATAATCTTCTTTCAAAATGATTGTTCCTCAGGTTACATGTGAAAAACAAAAAATCTGTAAGATAATTTGTTTTTTAAAGAAGGAAAAACTGTTGAAAACATTCGCAGGAAGTTAATGAATGTTTATGCACTTGATGTAAGTACAGTAAGCAGCTCGGTCAGTGCATTTAATGGCAATCTCAGAGAGAAAGGAGAATCTGACCATAGGGACAAGTTCTGTTGTGACAGGCCTGTTCCTGCATGTGACCTGATTCTGTGATGCAAACAAAGAGAGAGATTTCAAAACATGTTCACTGCCAAGGAAAGTAATTTGCTAAGAACAGTCAATCAGTATTCGGAAATTTTTGTAATGGGTAACATGAATACCTGCTGTAGATATCACTCATATCTAGATTACACTTTCATCACTGTACAGAAGCTGAATGTATAGACTAGCATGCCTCACAGTTCCAGATCACTTACCTCACTACCACTTTCAATACAAAGGGACTGACTTGTCACACAAAATATAGTGTCCTCCTGATACCAGGATGATGACTGCATCAAATGATATCTGTTAATCGAACAGGATTCAGCTCTTCTGTGGCAGCAGCACACAAAGGCATTTGGGGCTAGGTTTCTTCCCCCCCCCCCAAGGCTGAACAATCTCAGCAGCATCCTGGTTAACCCATTTGCTTTATTTTGATCGAATCTCACCAATTGTATATCAACTAAGAGGCTGCATTCATCCACAAGCAAACTGTGTGCCCAGTCACTTCCTTATGAGCATCTCACTGGCAGCATTGATATATTGCTTTACACGTAAGTGAACTGGATACCAAGTGATATATACAAAGGGAGCTTGATTGACTTGCCATTTAAGTGTTAGGTTGGCACCTTTCAGTAGAGCGTTGAACTCCACCACATTGATGTGTTGCATATATTTCAGTGGGGGCAACCAGCACATATCCTCAATGACTGATCCATTTACTTCAACTGATACCCCCCACAGCTAGGAAATTTGCATCCATCCATCCATACATTCATTTCTATCCACATGCCACTCATCTTAGGCAGGGTCATATTGTCACACTCTGGTGATGGTTTCTATTATCATGCATTTTAGTGGAATATCATCTGTCTTATCATCCCAGCCCTGCATGACAATGTGGGCTTGGCATTTGATAAAGCCTATAGCTGCACAAAGCTACTCACATATGGGAAAGTGCCCCACAAGTTTTTCCACACATGATAAAAAAAAAAATACTCCCTTGCATGATGATCTGGGAACTGTCACCAAATCACTTTTTTGCCACTACTACAGGTTGCCATGCCGACCTCCAAACTTCTAGTACTAGTACTCAGGTACCATTTTGCAAGTTTTCTGGGTCTTTGCGAGTCAGTCTAAATCTTAACAGACGTTTTTTTTTTCATGGTTGCTGCAGATGCCAAATCTTTTGTTGACATAGATATCCTCAATATATGCCGATGTTGTTTTCCAGGTTGATCCATCCTGTAACAACACAGCTTCAAGCAAGTGCCTCATTATTTAAGGCCCAACATTAAGGCCAAATCACAACTTTTTGAAACAATACCTTTATTACTTAAACATGACTATTTATCTTGTACCACCACAGTAATTATTTCAAATATGTACATTCAGGTAGGCTTTCCTGAAGTTAAAGATGGATACATTTGTACTTTCTTGTCTTAATTCCTTTAATTTTCTTATGCAGATATCCGCTTTGCTTGTGAATGCACTGATGTACATATTTAACTCCTGAAAGTTCATCATAGGATGTATCTTTCTTTTGTTTACTTGCATTACAGCCATTAGTGGTATTAGCCAATAGAGCAGGACAAGTTCTTCCTTGGGATATGGAATGCCAGCCCTTATCCATCCAAGCTTGCCCTCATACTCTGCCCTCAGTTAAGCAAACACTAGATATTCGAAAATCCTATTTGTCAATTTCTCAAGCTCATGGCCCATTGTCCATTCAACATTGTAGTCCAGATAGGACACTTCTCACAAAATTCTGCTTGGATATCACACCATTCAACTTGGAGATTCACACAGATAGGGGCTCTCTCCTTGAACTTCATGTCTCCTCCATGTGTCATGCACTCAAGTGCTTCTGGAGAGGCACTCAGAAGACAGCAGTTCACCAATGATCATGACATTACTAAGAAAGCAACTTTATATATATATATATATATATATATATATATATATATATATATATATATATATCCTCATTCCAAAAGTGGAATATCATGATAGAAAAGAATGGAGATTAAGTTGAAGATTAGATTTGGAATTGTAAGACTTTTGCAATAATTTTTGCATGCTTCTCTTATTACATTTGTTGTTGTTAAAGAACAACAGGCATTATTTTTTGAGTGACTCATATATTGTTAAACTAGTTTACCCCTCAAAAAATTATCTTATTACTGTGTTGGCTCATAATCAAGTCAGTATAAAATCTCAAGATACATGCTCTACATGGTTAATGTCAGCTGCAATCAATCCATTCATTTGTAATATTTACAATAGCTAAAATGATTTAATATTTAAAAAGAATATTTAACAGAATTGTTCTCCAAATCAAAAGTGAAAGATGAAATTTATGTCCATTATTCTTTGATAAGTTTCTAAACCTTAAAATTTATAAGATATTTTTTTGACTTAAGACTACTAAGTATTGAATAACTATTGCTGCTTTTATTGTAAATTTATTTTGCGACTAAAATTATTTTAATTATAAAATGACTCTGCCAAAATAATTTTTAAAAAAAAGTAAAAAAATAAAATAAAAACTCAATTCTGAGTCTTTATAAAAAGAGACGAGTACATAGAAACAAAGTATTGAAAGATATGGAGGTATTTGAATTAATATGAAATACTGAATAATTACCTGTGCTGGCTGATGTCTCCACTTGGTTGCAGCTCCATAAAAAGTTGATCGATCCACTCAGAAGAGGGAGTTGGATCTGTCAGAGAATTATTGTTGTTGGTATTTATTTGTTTTTCATTACCATACGGTCCTAAAATGAAGAAAGATAAAAATATAGGAGGCACAGAAATTACAAAACTTAATATTCATAATATTTCTTGCATAGATGTTTCAGTGACCTGAAAAAGGTCATAAATAAAGATTCAAAGTATCAAAATGATAATCTTTATTATTAGTTTAAACATTATTTTTAGTGGATATCTGTGGTTGAAATAGACACCCCGATTTTTTTTTTTTATTTTAAACAGTGCGTATCGGCCTGTGTACTCAAAAAATCTTAAGAAAATATGCTCTTCTTTAAGTTTTCTTGAGTGTGCAAACTGAAAGACGTAATACAAACTGTTTAAAATGAAAAAAAAATTTTAAAAATGGGTCTTCTATTTCAAACAAGTATCTACTAAACGTTTGAAGTAATAAAAAAATGTCAGATTAAAAATAAGCCCATTAATTTTATAATAATCTTTATATATTTAGATTTAAAAAAATATATATATCACAGAATATTTAGTCACTCAAGCTCTCGAAAATATTTTTAGACTGTAAGAATTTTGGGGAGAGATAATGGTTTAGTGACACAAGTCTTACTAATTAACCCATAACTGGCAAAAAATACCTTTCCTAAGGGTATTTGCACGTAAGTGAATACAACAAAGCCAACAGGAATTGGAACTCAGCTGTCTGCTTGACAATTCCAAGCCATTATCCATTACACGAATCACACATCCAAGCTTATAGCACTTGATATACCCAAGCAGTCACGCATCTAAGTACTGACCAGGCTTAACTTCTAGAATTTTGACAAGAGAGTAGAAAAAGGATAGGGAAAAATGAAGAAACTTGTATTTTACCTTGTAATAATGACTGTAGATGCTGGACAGCAGCATGCAAATTATTAATTTTCTTTTTAAGCAGCAGTTTTTCACGAAGGTCTTTGACACAGTTTTCCACTGAACTTTCAATCTCCACCACATAGGTAGATAACTGCTTGCACACATTAAAGCTTGTCGTTAAATGTTTAAGTAACATGACTACTTCAGATATGTTGCCGTTGAGGCCACTGTTTTCTAAAAGATTTCCCTTTAGGTAAAACTTTGAAGACAGGCTACCAAAAGTATTTGATAAGTTATGTGGCGATTTTGATTTGGGTGTAACCTTGGACGAAGAAAACTGTGATTTGAACATTGGTGAGAGGCCAGCAGAGAAATCAGCCAAGCGGCCAGAATTATGATCTTTACTCAAAACACTGGACAGACGCTGCTGTTGCTGTTCACTTTTATGCACAGCTAATTCAGACTGCAATGAGTTGATGATCTCCAAGTCCCGCTGCAACTGGTCCTTTAATTCAGCAACTTGGCTCTTTAGCCGATGGACATTCTCAGTGCATGATGATTTCTGGCACTGAAAGTCTGGTTCTGGCTCAGAGTCAAACGTAAACTTCTGTCCACCATAGATATGGGAAGCACAATTTTTGGAGAATGGTGATTTCTTAAATGACAACCCTGAATTTTCCAGTGCAGTTTTATACCAGTCAATCTCCTGTGACTGCTGACTAACGAGCATGTCCAAACTCTTGATCTTATCACTCAAGTATCTGACACGCTGATCAGAATCTGTAGTGTCATCAATACTTTGGACGGTTTGATTCTTCGACAAACTGAGACTCTGTTCTTTCCGGCTCTTGGTGCGCCTGTGATGATAACCAAAGTTCTCTTTGTCGGGGATATTTTGTACTGGTTCTCCATTTCCAACAGAACTAACACACTGACAGGATTTTCTCTCTTCGCGCAGTCTCCTGATCTCCTTGGCCATGTGCACAATCAATTCTGGCTTGCACTGAGTTTCAGTTACTTCATTCTGCATGTTCATTGCAATTTGCTGCTTTAAGATTGAGATGGTGTTGCTTGCCTTATTGAGTTCAGTCTTTAACTCTCCTACTTCTTTCTTCAGCTGGTTGACATCAGGGACAAATTTGGGATCAATCTCCCCAATGTGGTCCAACAATCCCAGTTTGGAGCGCAACAATAAGTTCTCTTTGGTTTTACTCTCGAGCAGCTGTTGTAGGTCCGAATGCATTTGGAACGAGGGATCTTTGCAAACTAAAGAAGTGACTTCAACAGCAGCAGAGTTCCTATGCTGCTGCTGCTGCTGTTGGGAGGATGAAGTAGCAACAGAAACTGCTTGCATGCATGACTGCTCATCTTGGAGGAACAACTGAAGGCTGTGACTTGTTGTTGGGGTGCTGCAAGCTGTTGAACGTTCAACAACTTCACCAAAACGTTGTCCATGTAAGTCTAAATTGACTTTGGAATTCAAACTTGGTTTAGAATGAGATTCAGCTTTAAAGCTCTTGGAATGAAGATTGGCTATTTCATTGCTTCCACTGCCCATAGTTTCAATTGGACTAGTACCATGACCAGTAGACTGAGGCAGCATAGAAATACCAACACCTACAAAACAAATATGGGTAGATAATAAAATATATCCTGTTGCTATCAATATTTATCAAAATCTTATCTAAAAATCATATCAATTATTTTAAGTGTGTAAAAAAAAAGAAAAGAAAAAAAGAATTTACTTTGTAAGACAATTTGATAAATTTGGTCACTACTTGTTACATATTAAAAAGAAAAAAAATCAGTATTTGGCAATATTCAGTTTACTAATTGTCTATAGATGAGCAGTTATCAAAAACATGCAAGTAATTTGAAGTGTTGTAGAATTTTTTTAAATTTTGAATCAAGTGTATGATTCTTAAAAAAAAATTGTGAATTTCTTATTGTAAAAGAATTTTCTCAACTGCACAAATCTTATTAATACAAATAAATGTATTAAAAAAAATTGATAGAAACTCGTGTTGTTACTGTGACACAGGGCTGTCAATGATGCAGCTCTCGTGTTCTGGTTTATTAATAATTTTTTTATATATTGCTTTTGTTCACTCAAATTTTTTTTTTTTTTATTTCACTAATTCCTACAAAGTTATTTTATTTACCTGATTGGTCAAGAGATTGGCTGGATCTGTTGAGAGAATCAAGTTCAGCCTTTAGTTGTTTGAACATGTTTGAACGCAGTTTGTTGTTCTGGTCAATGCCTTGTTCCAACTGTTGGCGCAAGCCTTCCATGGCCAACAGCTCTGCCTCCAGGGATTTTACAGGATGACTACAAAATGAGAAAAATTAACTAATAAGTAACTGGAAAGGCAAACATCAAAATACAATTAATATAAAGAAAAATCTAGCTATAAAATGTTCTTTTTGAATAAACTGAGTCTAATAGAAAACTATTATTAAAGTGGATATCTTTAAAAGCAATAGTAGAGAACTCTATATATTTCTTTTAGATAAAGTATATACACAATTCGTGTGTGTGTGTGTGTGTGTGTGTGTGTGTCAGTTATTGACAGGGACAGTAGGATTGGCAGGTTGAGCTTAAATTCTATTTGAGACCATTGCATTTTCACTTTCACATCCATCCATATAAATTCATCTTTTCTCTGTGTCTGCTCTGAGTTAAATAACAATGCAGACTGAGCTCCCTAGCTTTGGTTGAGAACTTGACTCACAAAAGGACAACTCGGAATGCAAAAGCAGCTGGATGTAGGGATAGCAACTCCACTCTGTAAAAAAAACTACTTGCTACAGAAATCACAGGTGTAATGACCACCATGGTGAAGACATGCCCCTATACTCAAATGGAGCATCTACAGGGTTAACATATGCACAATCCAAATATTAAATGCTCAAATATTAATGCAGCTATTGCTGCTATAAATTTGGGCATTTAAGTAATCAGTGTCCTATAAAGTTATTAACCTAACAATGACATTTTTTGCCAAATAATACAGATCTACTTTTAAATATACTAAAACCTCTTTATACCTATAACTATAGTCACCAACTTTAAACTGTAACTCTACTAAGCAAAGATATAAATTTAAAATTCATAAAATAATGCATAGCCTTCTTGTTAAAGTAATAATCTCTCTAAAAACCATAATTCAATGATTGGTTGGTGCCTAAATTTAAGTGTTGCATAATTTCGTCAAACTATACCTACTGTAATCAGAGCATGCATGGTAGATCATAAAGTAACAGAAGATATTCTTTGTCATAATCAAAAGTTCCATAACCCATTATGGTTGTAGGCCTACCAGATATTCTGCAGCCATAGCAAGAGTAGATGTGTCTATGGTAAGATAACGTGACAGTCCATTCCTCTTCAACCTGGTTTTGAATCAAGGGTTGTCTATCTTCTAGACTGACTGTTAACCAAAGCAAGAGAGCCCAGTCTGCCCTACTATTTAATCCATAGCTGGAGAAAAACTGATTGATGCTTTTTCCAAGGGCATTAGTGTGAAGTGAACAAAACAAACACAGAATTTGAACTCAACATGCCAGTTTCACTTTCCACATGAATAACTGTTACACCACTGCTACACACACACAATTATTCTTGATACATTTGAATAATGGATTAGTATCACAATTATAGCAAAACAACAGCTTTCTGTACACTATTGGTAAAATAATTTGCTGAATTAACAGAATTATGCATTTATAACCTCTGCAATATGAATGGAAGCTTATAATTGTTCAATTAAATGACATTATTGAATGTAGAAAAAGCACACCAAGTACAATAATTCATTGGCTAAAAGCAAAGACAGAAAAATATTTTTACCCCAGTTCTCCATAAACTGTCTTGCATAAAGAAGCCCAAATGTTTTGTTCTGTTGACAAAGCATCTCTTAAAGCTTTCATTTCTTCCAACTGTTGCTGCATCAGTTCCCACATCTAGCATGAAAAAAAATGTTCAGAATTCAAGCCAAGAACATTTAAATATGATCTCTTAGATTTCTTGATAGTAGTTAGCAATATTTTTTGGCTATATGCATTAATATTATTCCTACCATTATCATGGCATCAATAAACATTCATTATAAACAAGTTTTAGAATTTTCCAAATATTTATAAGCTATTTAGAAACAAGCTCACTAATTCCAGAATGGTTATATTCAAAAAATTCATTTCAAACTTTCAAATTTTTAAAAATGCAAACAAATATTTCAGAAAGATCAATAAAGCAATATGATAAACAAATACATGTACAATAGATTTTTATTCAGATGCCCAAGCTAATTCAAGTAATAAAATATTCATAGTTAAAAGAAAATATTCCCAAAGTATACAAAATTTACCTTTTGGTCAGACTCTCGAACACTACTTCTACAAGGAGAGCTGGCTTCAGATGCACGGTCCCTCATGTGAACATATTCTTTCCTTAACTCCAATAATGCTTGGTTCTCACGTTCCAGTTCCATCATTCGGCCTTGCATTTTTTCCTAAGAAAATGCAAAGCAACAGTTTATAAGAAAACATTAATTTAACTGACATTGAGTAAAACTATTTAATGGCTCATCAAAAAGATCATACCAGGTGTTAAACACTTTATGAAAGCAGAAATATAAAATCCAATCATTTTTTTTTTTTTATTCACTCCATTTGACAAAATGCTTTTCAGGCTCCAGTAAAATGTTTATAGTATATAAAAATTTCCCTTTTTTTTTTTTAAAAAAAAAAAATGTTGAAGCAAACTTATTCATGACTGCAATAAATTTATTTCTAATGATTCAGAAGATATTAGATTTTTCTTGTCCATTATTAATGTGCTAATATGCAAAATGTCAATGAGATATCCCTAATAACTTAAGATGGGTGTCAGTCAGTCAAGAGTATATGAAATAATAAATTCTAGAAGTTGTTAAAATGTTGACACATTTACTAGATAACAAAATGCTTTACTTTTATATATGCTTTTAAATGAATTTGGCTTTGACCAAGACTTATAGAATATTCAATTTTAACTTACAGCATCTTGCCTGGCTTCACGCTCAAATTTCCATGCAGTGAAAAGTTCCTATAATTTAATAAATAAATAAAAATAAAATATAAATCAAATAAACAAATATTACATTTATAACAAAACAATTTCCAAAAAGTAAAAAACGTAAAAAAATAATGTAAAATAGTTTCAACTCATACTTACTTCTTTAGCTTTCTTGAGCTGCTCTTCTAAATTCTTAAATTTAATTACCATGTGATCTTTAAAAAAAAAAAAGAATAAAAGAAAATGTACTTTTATACATATATTTAGTTTAAAATGTGTCAATACAATGAAAATAAATAAGAGAGAAAGACACCATTGCATCAAGTGCAGCTCAATTAACAAAAAAGTCCGAATGGTATACTTCAAATGTAAATCTAATAAAAAAAATGTAATTTTTAACTTCGGGCAAAAAATGATATTCTTATTACTAATAATTTACACAATTACTTCCCTTGGATTTAAAATACATAAAAAAAGTTAAGTAATTTGTATAAGCCTTTATCATAAATCATTATTGCATTTTTCTAACTTTAGTAGCTCATAAACAAGTGGAGATTAGAAAAAAAAAAACTAAGTACTGAATAAGTACTTACTCTCAGAATGAAATATGTCACCTTCATTTTCATGATACTTCCTCAGCTCATCTTGAACACACTGAAGCTCTATGGTCATTGTGTGTTGTTTGGCAGCTTCCTGAGAATTGCTTTCCTGAAGCTGGCGAATAAGGGATTCTTTCTGCTGACAACTGTCTACCAAAGTCTTTCAAAAAAGAAATAAACATCATATATATGAGGTGCTGAAATATTCCTGGACAGAACAAGGGATTTAAAAAAAAAAAAAAAAAAAAAAAAAACATGATGTTTACTTGGATTTTTGAAAGAGGACTGAGTCAAGAACTTTTCAGCACTCCTTTGCATATAGAGTGCCTATGATGGTCAACCACACACTTCATTATAAACAATTATTCCTTATGTAATTAAGGGAGAATAAAAAATACAACATCTAATAATTCCAAACCAAATCAATTTTCAAGCTCATTTTTATTAAATTAATTTATTTAATATTTTAAACAGTTTCAGACAGTTACAACTTTTTAACTTTACAAGTACAAACAGTTTGACACATTTGTTAAACCATAGACAACTATTCAATTAGCAAAGATAAATAGGGAGGATTAAAACAATTAGGAAAATAATCATATAGAGAAATGGGGAAATCACTATTGATAATTTCAATAGCAAATCAAAACATTGATGAATTCAAATTGAATGGTTAGTCTTTCATTCAAATTCAATTTTATTTCATCTATTGAAAAAATATATTGACTTTAGGCTTATTTGATATTTTAAAAACAAAAATGACAAAAACATAAATGAATTAGTCTCACCTTAATTGTTTTGTCTTTATCCTCAAGTGCAGATCGAAGTTTTTTCAATTCTGAATCTTGCATTTTTTCTATAATTGCAGAATTTGTTTCCAAAGTCTGGAGCAAATCAAAGAATCAATAAAAACCTTATATAAAAAATAAATTATCTGTTATAAAAATTAACTTTATGACTGCAGTTGTCAGATAGTTTGTTTTGATTTGTATTACAGCATATCAACCAATTGGGCCATTTAATGCCAAAATTTAATATTTTTCTACATAGTTTGTGTTTTATAGAGAATGGCTCTTGGCATCCACACATACCAGAGGATCTTCCTTTTTTTTTTTAGGATACATGAATGGGTTATGATAGTATGTCCAATACGGATCCTGGATATAATCACTTCTTCTCTTCTAGTTTGGTGTTTCTGATGCCGTTCTCCTATAGTTGGTTTCATTTTATACAGTTTATTGTTTGGGCAGCAGTTCCATAAGTTCTGCCACTCCTCTCTAATCGTTTTACGATAAATAGGTACTGTTGATCATTTTACAAAAATGTATTGCTGGTATTTTTGCTATAAAAATATATTTTTATTCTTTCGAGGTGTTTGGGGGGGGGTCACTATGCCTATAGCTGGGGCCCTAATAGATGCTACCACTCTAGATCAGGGCAAACCTGGGAACAACAGCAATCAAGAGGTGGTTCCAAGCTTCTCAAAACCTCTAATTTCCCAATCAGAGACTCCTACTGCTGGACATAGTTTGTCAGATGGTACTTAACAAGGGAATCAGTAATTGTTGGTCAGAATGTTATGATTTCAGCAACAAGAAGACGCTTGTCCAAATATTTCATCAAATAATGACAACACACGTCAAATTGATAATATAGATAAATGTTATAGGGCGTGTTCTATTAAGGACCCCAATGCTGCATCACAGACTGAATCAATAACAGAACTTTCTTCAGGTTGCTTTCTTTTACTCTCTTTATTACGGGGGTGGGAGGGGGGTTCACAGAAGGCATTTGTCTTCTTAAATGAGAGAAATATACAGTGAATGGAGGTCAACAGGTTGGCCACCTACCCATCCTCTCCCAGTTGAAACCACAACACATAAAACGAGCACCAGAGCTCCAGTCTTTTTCACCATCATAATTATACTAACACTTTTCCTGTTTTTTTTTGGTCTTATACAAAAACAATCCATCAAAGTCAGGATTCTACCCACTTACTCAGTTTGAGTTGTCAAACTTCTGAGTGGTACAGCTGGGTTTACCATATTTTGTCTAGCTGATGCATTCTGTAACGTAGGTACTGATCAACAACTTATCAAACATATTCAATATATTTCAGTCTAGTTTGAAATTGTACCGGAAAGACATTTTCAAATTTGTTATTTGCCAATTTTTTTTCTGTTATAAGATTAGACAAAAATGACTACCAAGAACAGAAGAATGAATATTGCCATTAATATTTCCATTAGGCAGCAAAAAGGTAAACTGAATTTATATAGTTCTAGGATATGCTGTAAAATAGCAGTCCAAGTTTGTGAAGGCATGAACAAGGGAGAAAATGATACCAACCTGTATTTCATAATCTTTGCGGCTAATGTCCAAACGCAACTTCTGCAAATCCCTGATTTTATCAGCCATTTCCAGATTTTGTTTCTCAATCAGATTCTGTAATGAGTGTTAGAAAATCAACATTCAGAAAATGAACTTCATAAGACATTTTTTTTTTCAAGCATATGAAAATAAATAAAACTTTTAAGAGTTAAAGCAAGCAAACATAAAAGATGACCACATACTTTTATATCTGAATCTTTCATCTTAAGCTTGTCAATTAAATCATGAGATGATCGTTCATTACCAAGAGCTGATTTTTTCTTTTCTTCCATCAAGTCCTATAAAAAAAAAACGAAAAAAAAAAAAAAATCTCTTGAAAAACAAAAAAAAAAAAAAAAAATATACTGGCAAATGACAGGGACATTTAATGATAACAGTAAAAAGTTTATTTACAAGAATTACCAGCTTGGTCATAAAAAAAAAAATCTATATTAACAGTATGAACAAAATTATAGATTAGCACTAGAATAATTATATAATTATTTATAAAAAAAAAAAAAAAAAAAAAAACATTTTGTGCAATTCCAAAGCAAACATTTATTTAATGGTTATTTAAAATTCTTTAAAGAAACATGAAGCAAAAAGAAACTAAATCAGTAGAGCTTTTAAAGAGGAAAAAAGAAAGAAAACTTACTTGCAGCTGCTGATCTTTGGCCAAGAGCTTCCTTTCAAGTTCCATAACTTTGTTTTCAGAGTCAGACATATGTAGACGTAATGTCTCCTAGAAAAGAAATGGTACAAAAGAGTTTAAGAGGTTTATTTAAAAAAAAAAAAAAAAAAAAAAATGGAGAGAGAAAAAAAAAAAAAAAAAAAAAAGATTAAAATAAACCTAATTTTTTTTTTTTTTTTCAATTCAAAAATATGAAAGGAGCCATTACCTCCAATGCTTTATTCTTCACTGTAATAACATTTTGCAAATGTTGAATTAAATCATCTTTCTCAGCCATAATTCGGGAATGATTCTCAGATTGCTCCTGAAAAATAGTTTGAATTTGCAAATTATTGCTGTTTCATTTTTTTTTATTACAAGAAAAAGAATAGACAAAACTTATGCCAGTTTGAAAAATTATATTTCAAAGTAAATTAAAAAATAAAATTTAACTGAAACAACCTTTTAAACTGTATGAAAGGCAATAGGAATTTATAGCCAATTCAGACACGAGTCACATGACCCATGTACTGCAGACATAGAAGCCATGGGAATGCCTTAGCCAAAATAGACTGACAGAACCCATCCCACTTTAGGATTGTTGCTCTTCTCCTACAATGGTTATTCTACCAAGAGCCCTATTATTTAAACCATATCCAAAGGGAAATCGATTCATACTTTTCCCCCCAAACATATTAGCACTGATTGAACAAAACAGTCAGAATTTGAACTCTGCATGCCAATTCCACTTTCCATGCTAATAACCATTGTATTACCTGCACATTCTATAACAAGTTATATGGCCATAAATTATTTAGTATTTTAACATTTTGGGAGGAAACACATTAAGAACCAAATAGATTTATATAAATAAAAAAAATTCCCTCTCAGTAGAAATAAGTTCCAGAACCTCTTATATCTATTATTCAGGATCAAAGAAATTATAAAATATCAAAAACTGACAGGGGAAAAATTTTTAATTATTAAATTTATTAAAGTTAAATGCTAACTATTATGTTGAGTTTTCTTTGAAAATGACAAGTGATCAATTAATGGATGATAATTTAGAATATAAAATACCTTGTGTAAATTTTGAGCAGCTTTCAAAGCTGTAGACAATTTGTTGACATTCATCTCTTTCATCTTGCTCTGCTTCTCAATCATCTGATAATGAACAAAACAAAGAATAGGAAGTTTATTTAGAAAAATTAATTTTTCCATCAAAACACACAGACAATTAAACTTGCTAAAATGTGGAATAATTTACAAAAACTTACATTAATAGTTTCCTGAGCAGAAAGTAACATTTCATTTGCTTTCTCCAGGTTACCCTCTCGTTCTCGTAGAGCCAAACGAAGTTGTTGGCATTCTGCATTTAAATCTTCTTGCACACGGATTTGATCACACAGTGTATTCTACAATAAATGAAATATAGTGTTTTCATTTTGGTTTTGTCATTAAAGAAATTGAAAAATTATTCATCACAAAGCTTAATTTTGAATTAGATTTTCAAAATTAGAGATACTAACTGCTTCCAAAGTTATGTCAAGTGATAACTAATGATTTCTGAATGACAAACAATGAAGTTTCTTTATAGGTTTGCCTATTGTCTAGTTCACACATATTCTGTATCTTTTGAACAGAAGTATATCCCCTTTTTTTCCTGTTTAGGATTGGGTTCCTGTTCCCTTCTCTCAAAGTCTTTGCATTTTTTTTTTTCACTCCCAGTAATCCCTTGCATTTGAGTTTGCATTAGTGACATTATTGCCTTGCTTAGAGGGTGGAATGATTAAAAAAATAAATTAATAATAAAACACATGCTTATCAAAATGTAATAGACAAATAAACACAATTATTAAAGAATTAACTGCAGATGGTGGAAATTTCCATTCATTGCAGTTCTATGGCTCAAGTTAAAGTAACAAATTATTATTAATCTTTGACTAATAATTTGAATTTCACCTGCTATTCACAATGATACATGAAAAATAAAAAGATTAATGCAATTTTTAAAAAAAAAAAACAGAAAACAAAAGGTTTGAAAAATATCTAATCCAAACTTCACTTGTAATTTGTATTCATGGTAAAGAAAAAGAGGTGAAAATAGTGTAAAAAAAAAAAAAAAAAAAAAAAGATATATCTGTCTCAATTGACATATTTTATATGAAAACGAATTAAATTTACCTTTCAAATCAAGTTTATTTTCTATATTTTTGTTTAATTTTTTTCCCTCCTCAAACCAAAACAAAAGAGAAATGACAGAAAAGCTACTGCAGCAGCAAGAAAGAGAAGTGGCTGTGAATGAATGTCAGTAGCAGACAGGAAAGAATAAAATTAAGTTTAAGGCTCCAGGTTTGCGACAAGAGGCTATTGTTTGTGAATTTGGTGATATAATGAGTTCAATCCCTGGGCCAGGTAGTACAAACAAGGGCAAGCAATAACTGAGCAGTACAAAAGAACAAAATATCTCTAGACATGGACATTGGAATGAGAACAATCTACTGCTGTTGATTAAATAAAGGATTTTAAATGCCCTGAAGATTATCCAGATCAACAAACACTTGAAGGCGGCCAAAGAGTGAAATGGCCAAAATGTTGTGATAATAACAAAGAGGACATTACCCCTAATGTAAAGAATGTCAATACCACTTAATTAAAATTAGCAATATTAAATTATTATACATATGTTCCCAACATTTCCTGCCAGATTAAAAAAAATAAATATGAAAGGGGGTTAAGAGATGCTAAGGGTTAAATAAGAGACTTATAAAAAGAATAATGTCTGAAAACTAGAAAACCTTGAAAAATATTCAATGTGACACTAAAATTTGCTCCAACTCCAATGACTACAACAAAAAATTAAATATTTAAGGAGACAATATGAGAAGATTATTAAATTCATTGATAACATTTATTAAGCTTAATTGAAGTTATATTTATAAGCTCAAGTAATATGCAAAAGAATAACAAGAGAAAATTAGTGGAAAAGAGACGATCAAATATTTCATAAAATTCCTCTTTGAAAGTCATCTACCAATTGCTTTGTAAAAGACAAAATACAATTATTTAATAAGTTTTGTTTAAAAGTTACATGTTTAATTTTCATAGCTATAAATGAACAAAACTAATACAGTATTGTATTCTTTGTGGAGTATCATTTTTTTTCTTGCATGTTTGTATGTGAAGGCACAAAAAGTTCTTACATAATTAGTAAAAGCTTGAATCTCAAAACATGACTTCTTTTTGACAAAAAGCTACTTTTTCACACAACTCTTATCTTAAATACCAAACATTCCAATATAGTTTTAAGGATCTAGGGCTATATGACATTTAATCAGTAAAAATTAAATACTTGTTTTTTAAATTTCGATTGAATGGTGAAAATAAATTACACAATCTAAGCTCAAAACTTGACAAAAATTTCTTATTTGGTTAGAAAATGTGAAAACTCTTCTATTAGTCAAAAATATAGCAAAACAGACAGAATTTACTGGTCACAACAGAACTATTAAATATTAAAAATATTTAATATTATTTACAAAAAGACAAGGGTCAGACAAAAGTAATTTTTTGTGATAATTTTGTGTCAGAATATTTAAGGGATAATAAAGTGTCTAAAAGACCAGGGGAAAAAAATTATACAGACAAGCAATTCCAAAGCATTAATTAACCCTACAGTCCTGACCTGGCACCCTCAGACTTTCATCCGTTTGGGACTATGAAGGAGGCACTCAGGACTGAACTTCTGCATTGATGATTATTATATGAAAGAGACAATTCATGTGTAGCTAGAAAAGTGGTAAAAAAAGCTATGAAGAGAGAATATTCATGCCCTTATTCAAAGGTGGAATACTACAACTGAAAAGGAAAGAGAATAGATTTGGAATCCTGAAATTTTTATGTGTTTCTACAATTAAATCTGTTGTAAATGAAGAACATGAATTACTTTTTGATCGACTCTCATAATTAAAGATAAACTCACTTTCAAACATTCTTCTTTATTTTTTAACTTTTCTTCAAGGCTTTGTATTAATTCATCTTTGTCCTAAGGAAAAAAATGATTGATATTAATTTCATAATGAATGAAAAAGAGAAATGAAAGGAAAAAAGAAAAACGCACAGTTTAAAAAAAACAAAAACAAAAAAAAAACACAGTTTAAAAAAAAATTGAGCAAATAAAAAGATCATTTCACCTTTTCTTTGTTATTGCGCATCATTTGCAGATATTCATGTAATTGTTTATCCTTCTCTTTCAGATTGTCTGTCAACTGTTGAATTAACAGGTCTTTACCATGCAACTGGTGTTGCAGATCCTGAATCATTAGCTGAAGAGGAAAAGAATACATTCATATTGATTGCCACAGAAATTGTTCATTGAATCTTAATATGTTACAAGTTATTTAGCATACAATTCTATCCTTTTATTCATTTACCTGATACTGATTTGTTTGATGAGCCAAGTTCTCTTTTGCCTCCTTCTTCTCTCGTTGCAATTGATCCTGTAGTTGCTGGGGGAGAAAAAAAATAGAAGACATATTTTACTGAAAATATATTCATATCTTTTATGACATCATTTTTAGGCTGATATTAATTGGTTGTCAGTAGAAGTGACTTTTAATCAGCTGTGTTTAACTGGAGATCAAAAGGTTGATATCTCTCCTATTCTATTTTACCATAAGTACTAGAGTTTATTTTATCGAGACGAAATATTAAATTGAACCTGATTGACTTCAAATCAGTTCTATCATGCTGTTTTCTGTTGTGGTAATCAATGAGAATATTTTTTTATTGGTTTCTTAATTTACTGAGAAATTTAACGAAACGTTTCCTTAAAATTATTTAAGATGTTTACTTTTTTAATGCATCCTTTTCTAAACATTATATTTCTTCAATTAAAACACTTACCTGTACAGCATCTTCACTCTGTTTTAAAGCATCCCTTGTTTTATTAAGCATATCTCTGAATGAATTTAGCTCTTGCTCTTTCTTTTCTATGGAGTCCACCAAGTTCTGAGAGGAACAGACAAACATTTTAATAGAATGGTTACAATGTGAAAAACAAATGAAAAGAAGACTTTATAAAAAAAAAAAAAAAAAAAAAAAAAAAAAATATATGACCTATAAGAAAAGAAGCTAACAATAAACATTTCCATATTAAAAACCCACAAGAAAAAAAAGTGTTAATTTGAAGCTCAAGTATATTTTCCCCATATTTATACCAAAATATCAGCTTTGTATAAAATGTAAGTAATTTGCACTGAGGCTAAATTCAGTGAATCGTATTTTTAACATCAATGATAATGTCATTTTTACTGCTTACAAATTAACTTTTGTCTCCTTTCAAACTACGTTTTGCCATTAAAAGAGATAAATCAAGTAAATTTCCTCTTCATAATACAATTTTTAGACTCCTGAAGAATAATGTTAGAATTTATCTTAACATTATTCAATTCAGAATTGATGGATGACTAGAAATAATAATTAGAAATGCCATTTTTCAGGCAGTTTCACATAATAAAAAAAAGTTAATATTTTATTTTTATTTTGACAATTTAAATCATTTCTAACAATGATTTCTATCAAAAATCTGAAATGCAAGTAATTCTAATTGCAATTTCCATTTATTTACCTGCCAAACCCATAATAATGGCAAACCAAAATTAAAATTTACCACTTCAAAATGGAAGCCATAAACAAATCAAAAATGCCTTGTGCCACAAGCTGACAATTATCATGACTGAAATCAAATTGTTACACAAGATTGGAATGCAATTACATTAATGAATTGCATTTTTTGTATCTAAAAATAATTTTCTTAACTATTATTCGTCTTTTTAAGCATAACATCTGCTGATATTCTTAAATAATCATGGTTATGTTTTCAACAGTATTGAATTCAATTAATATACAAGAGAAACCAAGAGATTTTACAGGCATATATTAAATGGAGGAGATATATAATTAAATTACTACAGAAAGCATTAGAAATTTGATATATTATAAGAATAGGTTACAATTATACTAGAGTATTAAATATTGAGCATACTACTTAATAACATTGAAAATAGTAACAGTGCATAATACCTATATTCTTGAAGCAAGAGAAGTTTAAAATAGTTTTTGTACACCTAAGAATAAAAGTCAAATTATTTATTTATAAATTAAATATTTGGTTTTCTTTTCCTAATTTTGTTAAATTCTCATAATTTCCTCAGTTCTCTTTGTCACTCAGAACTTTGGCTACTTATTATCTAAGAAAAATAAATACTGAGGGTGATTTTGTGTAAGAAAAAAAAAAAAGAAAGAAAACCAATTTATTCAAATAGTACTTTCATAATGTAGGTACCAACATTTGATTAGTTTGTTCCCAAATAATTGAAAATGATTCCATATGGAACCAAAAAGACATACAACATGAAGATGAATAAAAAAAAAATATCAGAGCCATCAATATCTATATAGACATAAGTAAAGAATGTATAGTTCGAATAATCAAACTCACTACATTTTAAAAATGAATTATTACAGATGGATACAAAATAATCTTTAATACTTTTCACACAGAAAATTCAGTTTGGATAAAAGCCTCAAAATTGAATTGATTAATACTGATTATGGAAAGAGAAGTCCAGCACAAAGTTGAATATTAAAATTTAAAACTTCAAGTGGTTTCAATATTTTTTAATAAAAATTTTAAAAACTCCTACTCCAATTTATATTTATCACCAATGATGTCATACTTTTAATGTGTACAGAATTATTCTAAGTGAAAGATTCATGCAGCTTGTAATATTGTAATAAGAGAGTCAATCCAATTTGCAATAACATTAGACATGCTGAAGAGCAGCTTTTCATATGATACAAAACTGATCATATGTTAAGAGACACCCAACACCTGTGTCATCTGGAGGTGTCACCTAGCAAGAACCTTTTACAAACTCTAATAATCAAAAGAATTTAAAGGTAGGAAAAATAGTTAAAGCAGAAAGCTAGGTAAGAGTAAAAGATTCAAGCAGATTGTAATCCACCAAAAAGATGGGTTGAATATAGCCAAGAGGTAAAGTAGCAGCAAAGGAAGTCATTGTTTCATAGCCAGTGATCAGTTATTCATACAAATGTCTTTCATGTACTTCAGAAAGTTTCTTTTATAGGGATACAGTCACATTGATAGTCCAGTTCAAAACAAATCTGATGGAAATTAACTGCATCTATCAATAAAAAAAAAACTTAAGAGAAAAAACAAACAGCAAAATTGAAATGTCATATTAAAAAGAAAGGGTTAAACACAAATAGAGATCGACCCAGGTTTGGCAAGAATACAATTTCACATTTGTGGTAAATGGATCAAACATCTGTTTGAAATAGCAATTTTTAAAAAAGATTCTTTATACAAGGTCAAAAACTGATGTAAATCAAGCTACTGACTGCAAAGATAAAATTGAAATATTTAAATTTCTTATCCATGACTTAGAATAGAAAATTACATTTGTTAAAACATCTAGCCTGGAGAAGAAGAAGAAAAAAGATGAATTATACGTATATTTATTTCTATTTTGATCAGTACAAACATCTTTTTTTTTTTTTTCCTTTAAGAAAAGAAATGCTACTTTATGAAGACTAGAAAAATATAGAATTCCACATCCATAAACAGTAACTTAAAACCCCCACCTAACAAATTATAGATGTAAGAAAAGAAATCCCTGTACATTTTATTCATTATGATTCATCATTAGGAACAATGAAATTTGTTTGAAAACAACAGTAACAATAACAAACTAATTTCACGTTTGTTTATATATTTTAGGGCTGTTTATTAATTCATTATATGGAAAATGTAGAATGTTATTGTAAAAGGTAACTAAGAAAAGAATTTAGCTTCTGTAGTCTTAACTAAAATGACTCAATTGAGAAAATCAAATACTGTTTTCTAAAACAATAAACCTTTACTTTCAAGTGCTTCTCAGCCCTATTCACTAAACATAGGAAATAACTTTCTCAAGATCATCCAGTTAATGCTAAATAATTATATAATTCTCTATTTTTATATAACACACACATATATATATATATATATATATATATATATATATATATATATATATATATATATATATATATATATATATATACACATATTAATATAATTCATGTAAAATTAACTTGATTAACTGAACATTACTTGATGAAATTTCCTACCTCAACAAAGATATGAAATTAATTATATTTCTTTTGAGTTCAAATTGTTCAGTACAGAATGATAACTGCTTTTTCTGGTTGAAAACCATTAGAAAATTGAGTTTCTATAGTTTATGTCTTTGTTAAACCAATTTGTCATTCAAGAAGACAGATAAAAGGAAAACCAAATTGGTTCTTAAAGCCTAAAACACATTCAATGGCTGGAAATCAATTTTGGATGCACATGAAAACATGAAGTCAGAGATGAAAAATGAGAAATGAAATGATTAAAAGATGTGAAAAGATGAAGAAATGAAGGGAGAGGATTAAAAAAAAAACAATTGAAAAGAAGTTGGCAAAGCAGATTTAATAGATTTATTATTGTGATTAGTAACATTGGAAACACTAACTGCATAGACCATCTAAAATCTACAAGAAAGCAATGCTTTTTGCTTTATTTTAGTAATAGCAACTGGAAAAAAAAAGAAAAAAAGTGCAAGGCAGCAACACCCAAGGCAGCAATAGAGAGAGGGAGAGGACTGAACATGGGCAGAGTTCTACCTGGTTGTTCTGCTCCTTTTCTCGTATACGTCTCTGCAACTTTTCTATAAGTTCATCTTTGGATAACATGGCACCGTGCTGTTTTTCTATATCCTGGTGGTAGGAAGATAGTTGTACAAGGAATAGCCACAACAACACAAGCAGCCAATAGTTTAGGAAAAAACAAAAAAAAAAACAACAAAAATTACAAACAACATCAATGCACACAACATCCAGGTTACCTAGAGAACAAGGTGGGGGAGGAATAACACTGTCTCCTTAATGCATTAGCAGAATATTAATGGTATCAGCTATTAACAGATCAAAATTGTTCACAGAAATAAAAATACATTACAATATTTGAAAATGTTAGATTAGAAATATTAAATTGTTTCTCTGAAGGATGTTTGGTTTGTATCAAGCAGTTTAACTGATTAAGTATATTTAAAAGTGACTCCAACTTGTACTAAAAAATAAGAGGACAAGTATTGAAATCTCTTTCAGTTACCTCCACTTGTCATAATATCTGCCTGTAGACCCTCGAACTAATCCAAAGACATCAGGCAAATCAATTTGGCATCAAAGTTGGATGGTTGCAAGATCTTTGATTTCCAACTCAACAAAATCAAGTGATCTCATTTTTGTTCATCTTTCACAGAGAAGATAGTAATTCAAATTTTAGCACTAGAAGTGAAACTAACTACAATTTGCAATTATCACAGATGTTTAATGACTTGCAGATCCTGTGCCTTTAAAACAAAACACACACAAGACCACAAGATTGCATGGTGTACCATTAAATTGTAAAGTTCTGGAGGTTAATTGATTTACTTTGATTTCTGCAGCCAAATGACATTTCAACCCAATAACTATATTTTTAGTATTCTAAAACATGTAAAATAGTTTAATTTGGTCAAAATGAAAACATTTTTTAATTTTAATTTTTAGAAGACCTAACAATAAACTGCTTTACTCCAATATTTCATCTTAATGTTCTCAGTAATACATGAAAATAATTTTTTTTTAAATATCCCTAAATTAAACTAATATATTATTATGGTCCATCACTTTTCTTTTTGAGTATATCAACAGGCAATTGAAATAAATGCTATCAAAATAAAACTATTTTGATATTGAAATATACAAGTGACAACAATAAAGAACAATTTTGTTCAAAATATAACATCAATATTTACTTTATGCAATGCTTAAAATGCACAGCTACATTTAAAGAAAACCATTTACCGACTTTCAAACTGATTATACATACACAAAAAGCATAAAGTGCTGTTATTAATAAGATCTATTAACTATTTTGTGCCTTTGGTATGTAGCTGTACTTTTATCCAATCAGATATTATAAACAATACAAAATTAAATGAGTAAGTTAATCTGTGTCAGTTTGTTCAACAGTCAAAGTCCAATTGAATTGTAATCAATATATTTTGGTGTTTATAATTTAATCACCTGTTTTAACAAACTGCCAATTCAAATAATCATTTTCATTTTGTTCAACAATTATATTAGATTTTCTTATTTCTTTAGCATCGAGTTTAACATATAAAACCTGATAGAATTCTCGTAATTACAGAAGTCAGTAATTATGCTTAATAAATATAGTATGCTTACATTATGTATGAAATTTTAATTTGAAAATTGTCTTCACTCATAGCAACCTTTAGTTAAAAAAACCTAGATTCTTTTGAAGGAATCCTACTGGTGCATATAATAAATTACCTTAATTTAACTTAAAACTAACAATCAATGTGTTGCCTTATTGTTTTCATGTTGTTATGAGCAATTAGATGAAATTTGAAGATTTAACAGTGTGTGCATCTCACCATCATAAAATGACACAGTTAGTAGTAGTCAGTGATTAATAAAAAATATAACAACTAAAATGGATGAAGTGGGAGGAGGGTGAGGTCACAATAAGTTAAAAAAATAAATCAAATCCAAATAGAACAATGGCACCCCAGCACAAACATAAGTTTATTTTCTATACACTAGTGTCTTATTTAATAAAGGTCAAAACAAGTACAGTGGCAAAATACACAGCATTTGCTTGCTTATAAAGCAAGTATCTATGCCAGATTATCCAATTGCACAGAGACTTATATGCTGGTCTTATGGATTGGAAGCTGAGTACTGATAATGCCAGTCGTATAGCTAGGAGGTCACAAGGAGCAATGTTAGAAATAGTCATAGGGAATAAAATGTCTCATAAGCCAACAAATACAATAGTTACAATTTTATACAGTACTTTTCAAAAATCCTGATAAAAGATTTTTTTTTAATTAATCAGTTTTGAATTTGTATTGTTTAATTTTAATTTTTCTTTGTTGGTGAGAGTAAATAGAAGTTTAATTTACAATATCTAAGTTGTTGTCATTAAAAAAATTCTAAAATCATAGCAACATCAATAATCTGGCTCAGCTTTTGTGAATTTGATATAATGGCCACAATAAAAATATAAGTGTTCCTAATTCAGGTTTGATTTTAAATGAAGAAAAATATTTGCAGTTTATTAAATATACCAGAATATATTACAGCTTAACTTTAAGCTCAAAAAACAAAGAATAATAGATTTCACAAACAATAAAAAAAGCATTTTCAATCCAATTATTAGCCTTGCAAATAAGGTTATGGAAAATAAAATAAAATAAAAAAAAAAACTATTTTCCCAGGAGTTAATTTTTGTTTGTAACTAAAAACTGGTAGTTTAAAAATAAGGGAAACTGGCAATTTGAGTCAGTTGTTAATAAGTTAATAGCTTACTGCTAAAACAAGGGCAGCATTGAAATGGGACAAAATGTCAAGACAATGAAGGATGACAATGAAAAAATGATGGAAGACAACTAATATGAAATAAAAAGCAGGTATTCTTTCTTGTTGGCAATAGAAGAGTAAAATAAGAAACAAGATGGATACAAGTATAATAATAGTATGTTGCAAAACACAGGAGCCATTAAGTCCTGTAAAAGTGTGTAGATAGCAGACAGCAATAACAATAAGAGTAGAACTTCCACTTATTCTTCATTTGTTTTTTTTATTAACTCTGGCTTCCTGATATTTCTTGTTTTTACACACACACACACACACACAAATATCTGTTCTTTCTCATTCTATGTTTAATAATCCTCCCTCCTTCCTCAAAGACATTAATCCAAAATTCATTCCATTTCACAGAGTGTATAAGGATAACATCAGTTTGTTTTTTTTTTTACTCCATAATATCATTTGAACCAAAATATTCTTTTATCTTCCTACAATCCTAAACATTATTTACCAGAGTATAAAACTACCAAATGGCAAAGTAATAACTTCAGAATCTATAATCTTCGTAATTATGACCTTGAATCCAAACTCGTTTGAAATTAATTACATGCTAGGAAATTAAGAATTCATGTAAATAATGGAAAGAAAATTAACAAAGACTATAATCTCTATTCCTAATCAGAGATGAAAGTTCATTCATTGAACTAATCCTTTGGCCTTTAAAGTCAAATGTTTATTAAAATCTTTAAGAAAAACTCTAGAATTAATAATTCAAAAGCACATTTTGGTAATTTAAAATCCACAGTGACTGCAACATAATCCCCAAGCAGAATAAGGTTGGAAATATTGGCAACAACAAATATAATTGATTTTTGGATACAATATCATCAATGCAGTTCACAAATATATGAATGCTTTTAAATATTTGTCAGGTCTTAATGATACTACTGTTATATTTTCAAAATACTAGAAAACAATTGGTCAATACTGATCTTTATAGTTAAGAATTGAGATGTAGGAAAAAATTATGTAAATATTTTCTAATATTCTGAGGCACATATGGAAAAACTTGTTTCACATATTTAAACAATTTTAAAACACTTCAAAAGCAAAGTTGTAAAGGCAGAGAGTTAATTGAAATTTTTGAATTTAAAATAAATGAAATAGATTAAAAAGAGTTATTTTCTTTTATTCCACTTATAAAACAGTTTCATCTACATGAGATAGAGAAAAACTTTTGAAACAAAAATATCTACAATGTAAAAAAAATATAAATAAATAGGTAATTCAAATAGGCATGGATATGTCATGCATATTTTTAGTTTCAAAATAATCTTTTGTATTAATGCCAACAAGAAAGAATCCTTGGTTAATCAGATGAAGCACACATCTCACCTTGAAAGATGACAACATGGAACTCAACTAATAAACAGGAAATAAGTGAAAATTACATTTCTTTTTAGATTTTTCTTCTTCTGCTGTTTTTTAATCAATTTCTTTTTTTTTTTAAAGTTTTAAGCAAAAATTTAAAAAAACAAAAACAAATTAAAAAGAAAACATCCCAACTCAATCAGGGTGAAACAACAATACAACAATAACAACAATAGCACCAATAAAAAGATCAATAAGGGAAAATCCAGAAATGAACTGTGCATCATTTCAACATCTATAAATTTGCTATTTTTGACCAATCAGGTTTATCATTGAGCACAATTTGCTTTTTACACTATATTTGGTCTATTGTTCTATTTCAGTCACTGTGCCCTCTGGAATGATAGCCTGGTGGATTAAAGTGTTGGTTTGTGAATTTGGTGATATAGTGATTGAGTTCAATCCCTGGGCCAGGCAGTGTGTACTTGGATGCAATGGAAATGGGCAAGTACTAAAAATAAGAACTAGAAGAATTATCCCAATATGTGGACAGTGGAACATGAACAGTCTATCCCCATAGATTAAATAAAGGGTCAGTTCAGAATTCCCTGTAGGTTACTCGGATCGGTATACACCTGAGAAAGGCCAGAGGGCACAATGGCCGAAACATAGTGATAGCAACAACAAAGATGAGGACAATAGTCAATATAAATAGTGTAAATAATAACTTCTCATCCCAAAAATTCAAACAGAAATTTGCTTTTTACATAAACTAATGAGTTATTCCTAGTTAATCCATATGAAAAAAGCATTCAAATATTTTCTTTATGGAACCTACATTAGTGTTTATACTTTCTATATTATATACAGAAGGCTTTAACCAACAATTACTAATGCCAAATACACCATGAGTATAAAAAAGTTTTAAAATATCAAATAAATATTTAATTGATGAGTTTCCTTCGTGAATTATGAATATTTTAACATATAAAGCACCCTAAATTCTAGATGTTATTAAAGAATGCAATTTATTTAATTATATCTTCATCTAAAAATATTACAATTCATGAAAATAAACTGAAGAGCCAACAAATTAGAAACACTAGTATACTAGATGGGACTTCTACAAGTAAACTACGCCAGGTGATGCATATGTGACAGAGGTAAAGAGGTAGCATGGCAATCATGGATCTAACATCGTTTAACCAGAGAATGATTGTTAGGGGCCCACAAGGGGAAGGGGGGAGCACTATCACTGAGATGGCAACAGTCACAGAGGCATATCAGAAACATGTGAAATCCAGACTAACATAAGTAGCTGATGAAAAAAAATGAAACCACCAGCAAATGACAAAGGTGGTTAGTAACCATCCAATAAAGAGAAACACTGCTTCAATGATTGATTCATTCATTTTCTATGGCTTATTAACTCTTTGGAGGTTATTTAAAGCCATAAAATATTTTTAGGTTGTAAGATTTTTTTTTTTTGAGATGGTTTGGTGATATAAGTATTACTAATTAACCCATAGCTGGGGAGAGTAGAGGTGAATTCATACATTTCCCAACGGTATTTGTGAAACACTGCTTGAAATCACACCCCAATTTAATGCTGGCGTTGATCTACTCATCAGTCAAAATGCTATACATTGTACACTGTTAATTATTTCATAGTTGTCAACCAACAAAAATACCATTGTTGGTACTACATCATCTGTTACTGTGCATCACCTGAACCAAAGAAAATCACCATTGGACTGTATTGTCCAATACTGGTGGTGGCTCTAGAATTGTGCAACATGTGTTTTCTGTGAGAATTCACAAGGACATGGGACACTGAAATCTTATGCTTAACAAATATGCCATATACAGGTTTTGGTGCAGACCATTTATGCTTGCAATGTTTTTTGATGATGATTGTTCTAGCAAGATAGCACAACCCCTTATGATTCTGGTGACACAAAACTAATTCTGAATGTATTTGGCTAACTTCCAGGGCTCCAATGCCCCCCCCCTCTTTACTCATCATATTTAAATCTCAGTGAGTATGTATGGGATATTTTGCAAACCTCTAATTCCTTGCAGATATAATCAATAAATACAACTTGATCTTGGATAGCCCTAGAACATGCTTGAATCACCCTAGAATATGCCAATATAATGCCACCTTGCATACCCACCATTATTCAGATGAAGAGAGAAACTAAATATTAAGTAGCTATCTAATTTTTTAGCTCTTTGGTTTATATCTAAAGAACATTATTAGCAGATTTTTACTTTTAAAAGCTTATTTCATGTACACATCTAAAGACTATGACTACTATATTATTATTATTATTATTATTATTGATATTATTGTATCACATAAATACTTTTCGGTCATACCCTTTTTATTGCAGTTGTTATGTTAGATACAATTAGTGAAAGTCTGAGGCATTATTTTAAATTGGCTTTAAAGTCACTGAAGCTGCTTCCAGGATTTAGAAAATAAAACAATATCTGACTATACAGTCCAATACTAGTTTAAGCATTTTAAGTGTAATGACTTTTTAATTGAAATAAAGTCCAAAAGTGAACGATGATCAGATACTGATTAAAATGCTTCAAGGCACAATATAAAGTATTAATAATATTGTGGCATCAGAAACAAACTTTAAATGTGTACAGGAAGAACTTTGAAGATCTGCAAGAAAAAAAAAAAGTACTTTAAATACATCTTTATATTTTGCAAATACATTTCTATAGGAGTAGATGGGTTTGCATATCGTATAATCCACATTCCTCCCTGATTTTTGAACAGGAGTAGAAGTTTATTCCCAGTTTCCTGTTCCTTCTAAAGTCTACTTCACCACTATACTTCTAACGTCTGCTTAAAACTCTGAACTCTTATTTATTCTTGAATTAATTTTTCTTCTCTCAGTAGGAGAAAATAGGTTTGCCTATCATCTGGTTCACACTTCTTCCTTTTTTTTCTGTCTTGGATTGGGTTTCCAGTTTGTTCTAAAGCCTTTTCCTTATGTAACCCTCTACCTCAAGTGGCCTTTGGGTCTTGTACAGAGTGAGTATCATTGTAAAAAAAATAAACAAACAAAAGGCTAACTTCAAATAAGATAATGATAAGTGATAGAAAAGAATCAATTATTTATTTGGCATATAAATCAAAATGCTTGAATATTTCAGCAATACATTTTCATACAAATTAATACAACATTTTCATCTGATGAAAAATATTATTTTGAGGTTTAAGATTCTCTTATTTAAAAGGTCTTCAACTATTTGAGAAGGTTAACAGTTTAGTTTTATAAAAGAAAAAAAAATGAAGACAACTGAATTTGAAAATAGCAAAAATAAAAAAAAATTAATGAAGTCAATAAGCAATGATTATTTTCAAGCAAAATTGTTCATGAAAATCACCAATAAACTTAATTTTTAACATTCTTGTCTTTTCATTCAAGTTATCATATTTAACAGCATATAAGACCCCCTATTTACATTGAATATAACAGTATTATTAAGTTAAATGAGGTACAAATACTGGTTGTCTATGGCATTCAGGTAAACATTAGCCTGTCAGATACCTCAAAAGAAGATGTTTTTTTTAGACACTAGAAGGTGGGGAGGGTTTTATATGCTATCAAATATGGTAACTAATTTGAACAATTTTTAACCAATCAAAAAAAATAAATATTCTTAAAAGATTGTGTTAAATGATGCTCAGCAGTGCAGGGTTGGATTCCCAACATTATTGCCATGCAAAAAAAGTAAATAAATAACAATAAATAAGTAAATGAAAAAAAAAAAAAGATAGCAAGAAATTTAATGATATGAAGATGTTTTAATGTTTGAAGTGAAAGTATGAAGAAATGAAGCTGAAAACGATAATCAACATGAAATAGTTTGACGTTATGATAAACATTATAAACAAGGCATACATGATACAGATTCTACAAAAGTTGCATGAAAAGAAACTGGAAACAAAATATTTCTATTCTGTCAAAAGATTTTGATTTAATGAAGTTTATTTCCTATAGTCTTGAATTAGATAAATGATACTGTGGTCACTGAAAACAGCAGTTTGCAGTTGTTTACATTCTTGCAATTTGTATTTGAAAAAAAAAACTCAGGCTGTGCTGCTTGATAAACTTTGAAGTTTATTTATATATTTAAAATAAATTAAGAAAAAAATCAGATGTATCTAGAAAGATTAAAAAATAACGTTCCAAGCAACAAATAGAATCACTTTCTAATTTCTGAAAATATTCAACTTTAAAATACTAATATCCCTACAAAACTAAGTTCATTTTTATATACAATTATTTAAAAAGCTGGAAATTTAAATCTATATATTAAAAATTAAAATTTTCCAAATCAGATGGAAATTATCCATTATTCTACATTTTGTAATACAAAAGTAGCATATTTAAATTAAGTATGTTAAAGAGATATAAAAATAATGTTTTTTTTGTTGTTGGTAACAGTTTAAACAAGTAATAAAAAAATACTAGATTCAATTAATTCTAAAAAATTTTTTCAAAAGTAAACGTCTACTTTTACATAAAATCGTTTTAAAAATTCAAACAAATACATTAAATTATTCATTACAAGTCAGATTTATTTTAAGCAGGATTCTACAAAAAGTGAGAGAAAGAAACACTGATTCAGTTATCAGTTTATTTTTATAAAACAAAGTAGGTATCTGATATATGTATTTGTACTAAAAGAAATGAATTTAACATGTAACAGTTAAGTCATCATAGAAATATATATAAATATATATATATATATATATATATATATATATATATATATATATGTGTGTGTGTGTGTGTGTGTGTGTGTGTGTGTGTGTGTGTGTGTTTACTGCTCTGAAACAAAATCAAAACAATATACTAAGTGTTGCAAAAAGAACATTTTAACACAGAATAAAATATTTTTGAACCTGAAGTGAATAAAAAGAAATAAACTAACCTTGTGTTTCTGTAAACTAACTTCATAAAGTTCCTGCCGTGTCTTGTTGAGATCATCTTTGTCTTTTAGAATTTGCTTCTGAAGTTCTTGTACCTTTCAAACAGTAAATATTAAGTAATTATTAGCAAGTAATGCAGAATATAAATAATGAAATTGTACTAACAAGCCTATATGAATCAGTAAATCTTATCTTCAAGAATTCTGATATTTAAGAGAATCAAACACCAAAAACCTAATTAACATATTAAATATGATAGGTGGTCAGTAGAATATCAGCAGTAAAATGAAAAGGGTTCCATTAACTGAAAACAAGTATTGTTCCCTTACAAAACTAACAAAGATTTCGTTTTGAACTATTTTTTTTTTTTTTATTATGACACAACACTAAATGTTTCTACTTACCTCATTCATCTTGTCATGGAGGTTCTGCGTAAGGCCTTTGATTAGCTTGTTCTTTTTTAGACTATTCGTTTTCTCAGTCTCTAACTCACTTTGAACTTTCTTAAGTCTTTCTTCTAAAGCCTGCAATAAAAATAACCAAGGATGACAAACATTAGAGGTTTATACAAAATTATCAATTTTCATTATATTTTGTGCTTATACAGGTATCTTTTATATCAAATAATGCAAACACATTTTGACAGCAAGAAATAATAAAAACAGTATCACTATTATTGTGCTCAAATGTACATAATGCTTTAAAGAAATAATGAAATTATTCAGAACAATAAATAGAATCTAGAATTTTCAACAGCTCACCAAACTGTATACAATCCCCTCTCCCAAAGAAAAATAAGTACTAATTTGATTTAATGGTCATAGATACAGACTGTATATTACAATCAACTAATATTATTATACTTTTAATGAAATAACTGTAATGGGAATATTAAATGTTTGATTTGAAGAATGTAAGATTTTGAAAATATTTTATGTCACATTAAAACACGACCATAAAAGACCAAAATATATCTATTTTAAATAATTTCATTTTATATATATATATATATATATATAAAAGAAACCAGAACAGACAATGAAAAAATAAAATAAAAGTAATATTCTAAATTTTGAGTATAGTCATACAGATATCTTTGAGAGATGCATGCCACATTTCTTTGAAAGTATATAATATTTGGAGATTAGAATGTAAAGGCAAGTAAAAAAAAAAAAAAAAAAATTAAGATAAAATGAATAGAATATGTGCTTTACCAAGAGTGTATCATCTTTCTCTGTAACAGATGTGTTGAGTTGTTCAATTTCAGATTTCATTTTATTTATGCTTTCTTGTTGATCATCCATGATGCCCTAAATTATTAAAAAAAAATGATTAAATTAATACAAAGTTCAATAACTGATTGTGATGAATAAAATGTTTCTTCGCCTTCTTAAGGTCTTCTAAGTTATATTTATTATTAAAAAAATTATAAGGGTATGTTTTTCACTTTAAATTAACTAAATGATACAGTGGCAGAACAAGTAGATAGTCAAACATTGGTTAGTGCTATAAGGAACAGGAATTTGTGGAGTGGCCGAAGGGATATGGCACTTAAAAGAATATATGATATAAAAAGTAAATTTGATTGTCCACACTGCCACTAACTACAGTATAAAATATGGACCAATAAAACAATTTGAAAGAGTTGGCTCTACAAGATTAACTTAAAAATTTTAGGAAGTTTAAATGTATTGAAACATTATCAATTTACTTAAGATAAATAACTTAATACATAAAACCTGCAGGTTTTTTTTCTATATTTCCAAAATTTTTACATGTAGAGACAATTACAAAAGAAAAATATATGCACAAACACAAAAAGCAAAACCTGATAAAATTGAGCAGTAATGGCACGCAAGAAGCATATTAGTATGGCACACTGGGGGCGGGGGAAATACCTAAAATTGTTTAGTAGGAAAGCTTGATATGAAGGCATTTCATTTGGAATAGGATTTAAAAGCTGTGCATTTGTTTGCAAATAAGCTTATAAATATATTTTTGCTTCAATTTATTTATTTGGAATATGAAAAAAAAAGGTTTTTTTTTCATTATTTCAAAAATAAATACAGAAATAATTATAAATAAAAAACCCAAATATTTCATTTCTATCATTCAACTGATTTTTGAAAAACTATAAAAGAAAATTACTCATTAACAATACTGCTAATTAAAGAATGCTTCCAGAAAAATAATTTCATTATTATTCTAAATTTTATAAACTGATAGTACAATAAAGTAAAGACAAATTTTAAAGGCAACCAAAATTTAAGAAAGAAAGCAAAATGTGTGATAAAGTAGAAATTGTTAAATATATAAACTAATCAATAATACCAACCCATAACGCTGTTTTATTCATTTCTCTAGTATGACTGAGAAATTTAAAATAAAAAATATTTAATGTGACTGAGGATTTCTTCTTAATATGTAATAGAAAAGAATATTATATTGTGTTGTAAAATAAAAATTCAGAGTTAAATTATTTATTTTTTCATGTTTATGCAGGAATATATAAAAGTAAAAAGTTAAATTTTTGAAAGGCTCACAAATTAGCAGATTTATGTAAAACAACTGTTTCCCACACTATACAACTTCATATTGTTAATATTCAGGATATGCAGGTAGTATAACAGTTATCAGCATAGGAAGTGGAATCAGCAAGCAAAAGTTAAAATTCTGGTTTAGTCTGTTGCATTCACTTTTGCACAAATCTCCTTGGGAATAGCATGAATCTTTTTTTCTCCCCACTGCTATGGATGAAATATACAGGGTGAACCAGGCTCTCTAGCTTTGATTGGCAATTAGATCACAAGTGTAGAAGTTAACAGGAAACTATTCCACCATCTTTCCCCAAAAGTCATGACAATTCACAAATAGTAATGAAAAGGAAACTGTGAAGCCACAGTTATCTATCTACCCCCTGACGAGACAATAATGGGAGAAAAATCACTGAAGCTTCATGTGAGAATAACAAAAGTTGATAGCACAAATGACTGATTTCTTTAAGGTGGAAATTAGTTAATGAAAACAAAGACAACCATTTGGGTCATAAAGCTGTATGTAAGCAATATTGCAGGTTGGCCGACTGTGGACAGGCGGCAAACAGTGACAACAGACCTGAAAGTGGTTGGAGGACAGAATACTGTCACTGTCAACCTGTTTATCATTCTTCAAGGTACATGCCAATCTCTGTGAATGATGAAATGTATAAAAAAAAACAAACTCAAATTGATAATTAAGAGAAAAGCAACATAAAATACCAGAAATATATACTATTGGAAAAATAAGCAATAAAAGCATTCAATTAGTAAAAAAACGTGTTAAGCATTGTTTTTAAACAATTTGTTAAAGAAAATATAGACATTAAATTGAGGCATTATCAAATATTAGATGAGAAGTGAAATCAATTAGAAAACTATTTCTTGCTAAAATACATGCATGGCCAAAGAAGGAATATAATGGAAAAAAATAAAACTAAAATAAAAACTATGGATGCATGTAAGTTTTAAAAAAATTTTTAATAAAATATCAATTTCCAAGAAAAAAAGTTAAAAAAAAAAAAAAAAAGATCAGCACAAAATTTATGTGAATCTATTCTGAATCCAAAAGTTAATCAAACGAAAATCTTCACAATTTAATGTCATTTCTCCATTTAGCATTTATTTCTTTAATTGACCTCTCTACTGAATCATATCATTTCTATATTTAGAAATAAAATAACTATTTAGCAAGTTTTTAAAAATATGACTTAAAATATCTTAATGACTGTTTTAAGAATACATATAGAATTTACACTGATACAAAACTACCAAATTAAAATACATTGGGTACTACATGAAAAATTTTTAAATAGATTATGAATCTTATAACAACAGTTGAAAGAATACCTCTTCAGATATGGTTAACAAGTTTGTCTTCAAGACCAGCTGGAGAGTGCAGTAAATTCAATCTTCACTCAGTGCTCTCCTATTAGGGTTCTGTGAGAGACTAAGCCAAATTTAGTAAATAATTATGATGACAGTTAAAATTAAAAGTTTAGAATGACACTGAAAAATACAAGTCAGATTTGCAGGACAAAATTTATAGACTTCTACATCAAATATAAATGCTTATATGAAAAATCAAATACAATTTTTCTACTAGAGATAAAACAATATATAGGTCTGAAACCAATGTCAATTCTCCTCCTCATTATTATTTATATATATTATACATAATTGGCAGACATTTGCTGATACCTCCTGACAAGTGGACCGAACAATTACTCAAAGGTTCATCTACGAAACTCTAGAGTAGAGGTCCTGAATATAACATCAATCAGCTATGTGGCAAATTTTATATTTTTATTAATTATATATTTCTAAAATATTAATGAATTTTTATTTTTTATTACTATTTTATTTACAGTAATAAAATATGTTGGATTAAAAATAAAAGTCCTTCAGTAGTTGCTTTGTTTACATTTCAGATACAAAATTGAGCAGATATAACTTTCAAGGGAAATCTGAATAAAGAGATGTTGGTTGGCTGTGAGACTCTCTAGCCAAGTGGTCTAAAGCACATCAAATCAGACAGTGGTTTCTCCTACCTAGGAGGATGTAGGTTTGAATCTTGTCAGAGGGTAGATCTTCTTTATTAAATTTTCTTAAATGTGCAGGCTGGTAAATGAAATAAACACTGTTTAAAAAACAGGATGTTCTGCACAAGTATGTATACACGCCTCAGTTAACAGAAAAACTAGTCTTTTGTAGTTTTCTCAAATTACAATAACACTGTTTACTGTAGTATGATATTTTATCGACAGATGCCATTACATTGGCAGTCCTTAGACAAGAAATTGAAAATGCATGTGCAGCAATCCAACTAGACACTTTGGACAATGTTGCCCAAGCAGTAGTTCACCATATCAATAAATGTCTGGAAGTTAAAGGCCACCATTTTGAGCATCCCTTGTGATGGTAGAGTCCAGATGTAACTTGTATTGATCTCATGATGTCTGAATAGATTTAGTATTAAAATATCTATACAAATTTTTCCTTTCCTGAAGTGTGTATAAATTTTTTTGCAGACTCTCCCTCTCTCTCTCTCTCTATATATATATATATATATATATATATATATATATATAAAGAAAAGAACAGCAAGATATATAATCCGGTGTTCTTATAGATATTTTATTTTTACAAAATAGTGCTATATATATATATATATATATATATATATATATATTGTATGAATGATTCATGAATTTATAAATTATAATTGCACTTTTAATTGAAATTAAAATAACTGATCCAACATGCAACTTTTGGATAATAAGTGTGACATTACTGTAATTATTGAACAATATAGTTCCTGCCACATTGACAGAAAATCTACCAGTAAAAAAGAAAGAATTCTCTTATTACTATATTTGTATAAAAACGCACAACCTTAAAATTTAAATTCAAACTCAGCGTTGCGACCGCACGTTCCAAAACAATAACACATTTCTCATAGCATTTTTTTCAGATTACATCTCTATTTTCATTGTCCTCTTATTACCGAGAAGTAAAAACAAGAACAAAATCTATTTCTATACCTGAGGATGTCTGTAGGAACAGACGAAAGCTTGTAAAAAAATTAAAAAGACCTTATGCAACTGGAATTTATAAACAGGGATCATATCATTCATATACAGGTTCGGGATTGGTGTATCTTATTTATATTGTTTGCGAAGATGTATTCTCGCCATTTAAATCATTAACCTCTATATTTGTTTTTTGTATGAATGATTCATGAATTTTTATATATATATATATATATATATATATATATATATATATATATATGTGTGTGTGTGTGTGTATACAAAGGCCTATCTCTTGTGAATAACCATCACAAAATGAGATGATGCAACAGAGATTCATTGATTATTTCTTATGCAGATTTGTATGCAGGATAGGAATATTCAAAAATACTTACCAAATAAAAGTTAATCTACTTTTAAATACAATTACAATAATGCTCATAAAAAACAGAAAAAGAGAGTAAAATAAAAATAATCTTGCCTCAATGTCTTTTTCTTTTCTTCCCAGAGATTTCTCCAGCTTGCCAATTTTTTCAACATAATTTTCTTCTAAGCGTTGTTTAGACTCGAGCTCACTTCCCAACTGATCGATCATTCTGTAATAAAAAGCATATTCTAATCAGTTTAGTAATTGACTTAAAACTATTTTCTGTATTAAATATATGACAATATTTATACATTTTGTCCTTTGAAAATTATTAAATTGACTTTATAACTCAGAGAAGAAAAACAACAAATAAAGTTTTTGTTTTCATTTACAAGGGAAAAAAAACTACAGATGCTTAGTCATTTTTCTTAACTTTGTTTTAAAGAAAAATCCCTATATTCATCTGTTATGACATGGAGACTGTATCAATTGCCAGTAAAATTTATAATGACTTACTTTTTGAGATCTTCAAGTTCTGAATCTTTGTGCTAAAATAAAACAAAAGATAAATATGAGTTTTGGAGCTTTTTATATATTCTCTATTAAAGAAATAAAATAAATCAAATAGAAAAACAATTTTCAGAAATTTTCTCAATAAAATTAACATGTCCATGTTAAAATATACACTTATGAGTTAAAAAAAAAAAAAAAAAAAAAGACATTATTAATTCATTTTTATTTATAAAAATCCTATTTCATTTGAACATTTCCTGTTATTAACACATAATGGGTAGGCTTAATATAAGTTCAGTTACTAAATTATTAACTTCAACTTGAGTATTGCTTTTAAATATTTACTGCTGTTATTTTATTCTATCACATCAATACAAATTAAGGTGACTTCAAAATTTTTAACCTGGAGAAATTCATGTCAAAATTCTAATAGTTAAATACATTTTCAAATAATGACCCTTTAATACAAACAAATACTATTTGCTTTTTGTCAAATAAACAAATGGCAAAACAAATTAAAAAAGAAGACCTATATAAACATGTACACAAATTCAAATAAAAGAAAAATCTGGTTCACATGTTTTAAAAACTCTTAATATACAGTCATGGCAAAAGTAATAGTCAAATATAAATAAAAAAATTGTGCCATATTCTTCAGCTGGATAATAATTATTGAAGACATTAAACTTTTGAAATCTTAATTTCAAGTTAATATTAAAAAGAAATAGAAGTACTTCAACTGATCATATTTGTTAAGACTAGTGGACTAAAATATTTGCTCTCAATGAGTAACTAAATAGGTCTGCAGTCTGAGTTATTAACTAGTTTTTGACTTGTTTTTGATATATATATATATATATATATATATATATATATATATATATATATATATATATATATATATATATATATATATATAGTTGTTTGATCTATAGAATTAAAATTTGTCACTGAATTAGACGCCATGAGAAGGAAACAGATTAAATAAATATCTGTTGTGTAATTAGATTTTTTCTTTGTGAGGCAGAACATTTATTGACTTAAAAATATAGTAAGCCAGCCAAAAATTTATAGTTTTAGTCAACATCAATAAGAACAATTTCCAGAGTGGTCCAAAAATCTTGTCATCCCTACATAATATAATTTTCTATTTCAGATGGCTAACACACGCTCCTACAGTTTGGAACAGAGGTTGGGGTAACAAGACTTTCGGACCACCCTGTACACTGATGGATTGAATAAAGAATTCAGTTCAAAATTCCAAGTATAACAAAAGAGGCCTGAAGAAGGCCAAAGGGTTTGATGATCAAAACGTTGCGTCTAACAAGCAAGGTGAGCATACTGGTCCGAATCGCAAGGCATGTAATAATGATAATTTCTCCTTTCAAAAATTCTGACATGAATTATCAATAAGGGTTGTTATTAAAATACTCAGTGTAAAATTTAATACAAAACTATTGAGTGAGTATAGATATAAATTCTACTTACAACTCCTTCATCTAAATTCTTTTGTTGTTCAGCAACTGCCTGCCTTAGTTGCTCTGCTTGATCATGAAGTTCTGCTTGCAGACGTGCCACCACTGTATCTGCATCTTCCAGCTTTTGCTTTGTTTCTGCTAAATTCTGAAAAAAAAAACTCAAATAAGTTATCTTTATAGGAAACGTGTGTGTGTGTGTGTATATATATATATATATATATATATATATATATATATATATATATATATATATATACACACACACACAAAATGTTTAAGGCAATGAAATAAGAAAATAAAAGAGAATGATTATAAAAGATAATAAACTTGCCTTTAAGACTAAAATCCTATCTTTATAATTGAAGAGAAAAAATTAGTCAGCTGCACAGGATTTTATGGCTGACAATGTCAAAGCCAGAAAGTGAAGTTAATATACCAAATAAACAACATACAAATCATTACATGTCTGAAATAATTTGAAAATCAAGGAAAAACATGAGAGCTTCTTGAAAGACAAGAATGATACCAAACTTCATCTCCCATCTACTGGACTGAACACCAACAAAAAAATGACATTTCAGCAGTTGCTACAATAGGAATAAATCATTCTTGTTAAATTAATTTTTATGTTAATGGTCAACCAATTGGCTGTGGCAGTATAAAAGAGGGAAAGAGAGAGAAAAAGGACTGGAATGATGTCTGACAAGTGTAAATGCATGTTTGTACATGCAAAGGCTTTTCCTAATCTCCTAGTTGATTGATTAAAATTCAAATCATGACAGCAGCTAAGTATTATTGAGCTTCTGCCAACAGCTTCATCAAGAGAAGTAGAATCATTGTCAATGAATTGTACTAATGTCATTCTTTACTATCCTAAAGTTAGTCTATGTACAGCTAGTGCAAATGATATTGTGAAAGTTTGTGTGTATATTAGGGGGTATCAGAAGTATTTTCTTTTTTTTTATTGACTTACTCCAAAAGCTTATTTCATGTACATGTCTAAAGAAAATGCTGCCATTTTATTATTATTGTTGTTGTACCATTAAATATTTTTGATCCCTTCTTGATTAGGTCAATAATATTTTTTTAATTTACTGTTTAATAATAGTAAATTTAAAAAAAAAAAATGATGAGAGTTTCCCAACTGAAAAGTTCTTGACCTAACCAAGAAGGGATTAAAAATATTTCTGATGTGGTCAATTTTATCAGGTTTTGGGAAATGGTCAAATCAACAGATTTTCAGCACCCCTTTGTGTATAGCATGTTAACAATACTATTCAGCTGTACTTTTATTTCAGATGCCATGACAGATTTGTCACAAGATTCTGGCAATTCTGAGATATTATTTTAAACTGGACTTCACAAGCACTGAAGTTGTTTACAGGATTTGGGAAATGGTAGAAAATGAAACAATATCTAACAATACTGCCGAAAACTGGTTTAAGCATTTTAAAGATACTGACTTGTGCTTTGAAGTCAGATGTGGACAATGTTCAGTTTTTATGATGCTTTAAACTATAAGATAAAGAAGATGATCATATGATATTATTAATAAATCAGAGTTATTGACAGTCTTCAGATGTGTACATATTTAGAATAAAGGTTTATAAAAATTATTAATGCATTACTTTTTCTGTGTCTTGAAGTTGCCTGAGAATGTTTTCTTTGTCTTTGGTCCATTCTGTTTCTTTCTTCTCCATGGATCTCTTTAAATCTTCTTGATGAGATTTTGACAAGCTGTCAAGAGCAAGGCTAGAAGAAAAAAAAAATTCATTAATTCAGTGAAAATGCAAACCAGCAATAATTCCTTAAAAGTTCCCTTCAAAAAATCCCAAAATATTCTATGCAATACCAGCACTATGTATTGAATTTATTAGAAAAGAAATATTGCAATGAGTTTCATTTTATCGCAATTATGAAAATAGAACATTTTCTTCTTACACATGTGATGATTGGAAAGCAGTGATTACAATGTTCTGAGATCAAATCACAATAAAATAGTGTCACAATTTGGATTTTTAATATTATTTAATATTTATTTTCAGATTAAATAATTAAAACTTTATGCAAATGTAATTCATGTTTTATTATCCAGTTTTATTTTATTGGATTGTTTAAATTTATAGGAGATTGATCAATAAGTCCATAGCCAGGCATGGAATTATTAAATGAATTTTGATCTGATATTTTCACTGCATAATATTCAATGTATTGTTATTATTGGAGAATTGTTGGGTTAAGTGCACTGGGAAAAAAGAGATTATGTTGAAAAGTAGATATTTTGTAAAATAGATTTTTTTTTTTACTTACTATGCTTTTTTGAGTAATTCTTGTTTTTCACAAACATCATTTCTTAAGCTTTCTACTTGGACATTTAATTCAATGTTCTGAAAATGAATAAACAGAATATACATTTTTTACACACACACACATATTATATATATATATATATATATATATATGACAATTGTGAAAAAGTTAAGCAAAGATCCAGAACAATCAAAAAAGAAATTAAAAACATTGGCAAAATAACAGAGTTCCAGACTAACCTTTTTTCACTATCATCAAAGTCCCAAAGTCATTAAAACAAAATAAGTTTTCACTAAGATATTAATGTTTTTCACATTTAGAAATAATACAAATATTTAAATTTCAGTCATTCAACTTTCTTTTAGGTTTCATTTACCAGTACTTAAAAAAAAAAAAAAAAAAAAAAAAAAAGAAGCACTTAAGCTTTGTTTATGCGCGCATGTGTGTGTGTGTGTGTGTGAACATGGTCCATTTATTAAAAGCTGCCACTATTGATGAAAAGTAGGATTTTCATTTTCTTTAATTTTAGGAAAAAGTTGCTTTTAGAATAAAGGTTTAAATTATAAATTCTATATCATCCTGGCATCATTTCAAAAAGACCAAAAGTTGGTTATCCTAAACCAATGTTCTGTTGTCCTCAGAATAGTATTAATTTCAGGCCTTGTATAACAAAAAATAAAGGAATTTAAGTTCACAAAAAGAGATTTGGTGGGGGAAAAAAAAATTTGAAGAAGTTGATGTTATGAATGTAAACAAAGAGAAAAGATTAGTTAAAGACATGAAAGCAATCAAACTGCCAAGACCTTTAAGTTAACATTACAAAAAGAAACATTTAAGTTGAACAAAGTAAATGGAAAGTGATTTATCAACAGTACTTTTTGAATGTAGAATTACATTAGATGAACCTAGTGGCTTTGGGTTAGTATCATACTTAGTAACATGATAGGTCCCATCAAGGTTGATGATGTCAACATAAACACAAATTATTCTAAGTTTTTAGACAAGACATTTTTGATTGGTACTGGTCAGAAGTAAGATTTAAACTAAAAAGTTTATTCATCTATGTAATAAATGTGAATGTCAGTGTGTCACACTTTTTCAACTTTATTCCTCAAGGCCATAGCCCAACATATCATACCATTTTGGAATCAGGCTGACTGTGAGCAAACTAAAAACATTCCTGGCCAGACCCAGACCTGTAATCCTGAAATTTTGGATTTCCAAGTTTTCATTGCTGTGACTGTTTTCAGCGATTTTTTTTTTTTTATGTGATTTTTTTGAGACAATTTTTTTTTTGCACAATAACAACTTTTTAAAACTTGGAAATAAATTTGGGAATAATCAAAATTAATTGCAAAATCCGGCGAAAGTCACCCATGAAATAAAAATAATTGTATAGAAAGTAAGGATCTACATACATCAAATTGTCTTTAAATTAAGCGGCAACCGAAGAATTATCATTGAACTTTAAAAAGGTAAGCTTAAATATTAATACTTAAATGCAGCAAACAATTTTGAGTTCTTCTGTAGTTCATTTTTGCCTATCGCATCTACTCCTTCCTACCTATTGTGATGAAGGCCCAATCAAGAGCCCTCAGCAAGAGCTAGCTTAAATGCTGCCTAATAGGACAGCTTTTAAGTTAGTGCAAGACAATATTTCTGCATATTTTGCAAGGTGGGCAAAGATACCAAATTAATGGAATGGACCATAAATTTTCCAGACATTAATCCAATACTTGTGATTCATTGATAAAAGTGACAAATATGAGAATGGAAAACGGTATTTAATCAAAGTAATAAAACTGCTGCAGGTAATGTTAAAGTTGATAAAGTAGAAAATTTATCATCATCAATGATTGAAAGACTGATGAAGATTATAGAATATCTAAGAGCCCATATGTGATGTAATGGTTAGCAAGCTTGTCTCTCTAATGAATGAGTAGTGAGTTCGATCCTCACTGGGTGCCCCCACACTTTCGGCCTTATGCCACATTTAAGCTATGCTTGGAAAATCACTATGCAATACAATAATTTATTCTAGTATATCAGACATTGCATTAACTAAATATATATTTCTATGGCCTATAACAGATTTATTTATAAATAAAAATTTACATTACACTTTGTTTGCATAATAAAACCCAACACCCTTAAGTTGTCAAGATTTTTAATAAAACCCAAACAAAATATATCCTGAAAATATTACCAACATCAATTGGTTCATACAAATTTTGTTGTAAAAATATTAATTTGCATAATAAAATCTGACAAGAGTATATTTATAGCATTCAAGTAAATAACAGGTTTGAGATTTAAATAATAAAACTTGTTCTAATATGAATACAAAATTACAATGAAAACTTAATAAAAACTACCTATGTTATTTATTTATTTTTTTTTTTTTGACACATTCCAACAGTTTTTCTTTATTGTTGGTTACCTAATTACTATGGCCTCTGAATGTCATTAATCTTTTTTTTTTCTTCTTTCCCACTATCTCCAGAATTTCATTTTGGATTTCATTTCTTACTCTTGATTCTACTAATTCCTAGTTTTTTTCCATTTTATTCTGAATCAGAATTATTTGTTCTCTTCAAACTAGATATAAAAGGAAAGCATTTTCCTATAAAACAAATTTCAACATTACTTCTTACTTGATTATTCTTATAGGATAAAAAAAAGGTAATACAAGTTCATAAACACACAAAAGAAAGCTGGGGATATATTTAAAGGTATATATTGCGGCACCTTTCTTCTCTTCTTTTTAATATACACACAAAGTATATAACCTCTTTCTTTTACTTGTATATATATATATATATATATACACACACAACAACACACACACATACATACATACATACATACATATATATATATATATATAAGGAAATGGATTAAATCTGACATATTTTCAATTTATTTGTTTAAACATTATTTTTTAAATGGATACTCATATTTGAGATGCTCTGTTTTTATTTATTTATTAAACAGTATATTTATTTATTTATTTATATCTACCGCCCTGAATATTTAAGAAATCATTTGAAAAATAGGTGCCCTCTAGAAGGATTTGAACCTGTGTCCCCTAGGTCAGGAGGTCCTATGTGGTCTAAGGCATATCAGATCTAATGACATTTTCCCCTAGGGGACACAGCTTTGAATCCTGCTGGAAGGCACATATTTTCCTAACAAGATTTCTTAAATATGCAGGTAGGTAGATATAAATAAAGAAATCTATCTCTTTACCCACCAGTTATGGGTAAATAGCAGGTCAGACTGGGTTTTATAACCTTGGGTGGCAACTGGTCTAGGAGAAGGACAACTCCAAATTCAAAACCTGTGGAGAGTTGTTTGGGGAACTTGTGATATACTGTGCACCAGTTCCCTGTATTCAACTCTTCCAAAAAGGTGGGTGGATCTGCACAAGCCTTTAGCATTATAAGCAAATGATTTGTGCAGGTAGTCTGGCTGTCAGTTACTAGGAACTGAGCTGCTTCATATGTCAAAAACAACAGGGCAGTCCAGTAAAAATATGTGTGCGTGTGTATATATATATATATATATATATATATATATATATATATATATATATATATATATATATATATATATGGCAAATTTTTAAACTCATCATATTTTGTGCAGAATTTTTAAAAAAGAAAATTCCAATATTTATAAAAGCATAAATTTTATGGTCAAAATGCAGCTCTCAGGAATATTTTCTTAGTTTTGACTGGTTTGATTTGTTTTGTAGCAGATCAACCACAACAGGTTATTGAATTTTTTAGGATAGATTTATATGAATAGAATATGTATTTTTTGTAAGAAATCAGTTTGTAGATCAGGTTTCATTGATGCATTTTTGTAAAGAGGGTTTTTGTTGAGAGTCAAATCTATTGCTGGTAATATTTTTTTCCAAAGCTGGTACTAATTGTCTTTTTTTTCTTGTTTTTGTTTTTTTCAGGATTCCCACAGATCTGTGTAAATAAAAATTCCAGGACTTTTCCATGACTATGTTAAGAAGTTTCAAGGACTGAAACTAGCATGTACATGTACACACACACACACACACACAAAGCAAATAGTCATCAATTTCAAAAACAGAAACTTTGTAATTTATTTTTTAATAGTAAGACAGATAAGATGTTCAAAGGAAAGCTACAGCTGGTTCCAATAATTCATGTCACATGTATCAGCTGAAAACAGTGAAGAGATCCAAGTGTTGAAGGATAAGACTCAGTTGAATACAGACCTGGTTATGTTACACATTTTGTGTAGCATTTTACACAGTTTGGAGTTTTACTACACTTGAAAATTTTGAATTACACACTTTAATTTCCTGTGAAGTTAGAAATAGAAATTTTCACAAAAAGACTAGACATTTTAGCTACCCCTACTACTCATAGCTTTTGTTGCACATGGCACAGAACACAATAACGTAAACATTTTTTTCAGTTCATCTAGTTTTGCATTCAGCTCTTCTTCCAATTTTGATATCTCTATGGATTTTTCCTGTGCAGATCTTCGCATAGAATTGGACTTTGTGATAAGTATGAAGTTCTGAGTCCTCTCAACTTTCTCCACATGATGGTCAGTTAACTTGAACAAATCTTGTGTGCAACTTTGAAGCCTGTGTTTTTTGGTCTTCAGTTCTTCAATTTCCACAAGCATGGATTTCCATTTATGTCCAACTGCTTCTTGCTGCTTTTTTTTTTCTTCTCATCCTCAATGTATTGGTTGTATGCTGTTCTGGCATTGGAAGCAATGCAAGAAAGAGCCTTAGTCATGGGAACATTCCCAGCACCTCCAACTGTGGCCAAATAGTCCAGAATAATGACCTGTGTGACCAGAGCCTGCGGTTTCATATTGTCAGTGAAAATTTCCTTATTGACGGAGAAACCCCTCTCTCCACTGAAGCCTGTCCATAAGTGAGTACCAGCAATCTGCAAATAACTTTCCACCGTTTTTAATATTCTTTGTTGCTAGACAAAGAAGAGTAGAACAAGACATCCTTCATGCTTGCTGAAATTCTTGAAAGCAATATCTCCAGCAGCCGCCTCCTCTCTTTGTACTG